GAACCCACCAGCTCCAGTGCATAGAGCTGGTGCCTTAACCTTTGATCTATGGATGCCGAGCTTGCTCATTTAATTTTTAGAGTACTTGGCCAAGTGAGAGAATCTAGAGTGAGAAAAAGAGGAGCCAAGACCAAAGCCTGAGAAACAACACTGAGAGACCTGGTAGGAGAGTGGTATTTGGAAAGGAGAGGAATAAATAGAGAGGTCGGAGGAAAACCAGAAATGTGTATCAAGGAAGTCAGGAGAAGGGGAAAGGTGTGGCTAACTGGGTTGGATGCTGTTAAAAGGTCAAGTAAATTGAAGACCCAAAGGTTTGGCAACATGGAGGTGAACAGAGCCCTCAGAAGGAGCAATTTTAGTGGACCAGTAGTAGCAGAAACCAGATTGAAGGAGAGTGAAGGCAGGGACATTTGTGAAGATAAGGCTGTAGCTGAAGGAAAATATGAGCTTTTTACAGCATGTTTGAATAATGTGAAGGATCCTGCTTGGGTTGAGGGTCCTCAAGACCACCCACATATTCAATGATTCACTAGACAGACTCATGGGACTCAGGTTTATTATGGCTAATGTTTATTACAGGGGAAGGATGCATGATATAATGAGCAAGGGAAAACGACACAGGTAAAATCTGGAGAAATCCATACATAGGCTTCCTTAAGCCCTTCCCTCTTGTGAAGGGATACAGAGCACTTGATTGGGCTCCTTTTTCCAGCTATGAAAGTTGCAGTAACATGTATAATCTTTCTGTTTATGAAGTCCATTAGTGACTCAGTGCCCAAGGTTTTTATTGGGGGATAAGCATGTAGGCATCTTCTGCCTAGCATGTATCAAAATAAGCCACCCTTATCAATTAGGGAATGGTGAAACCAAAGTTCTTGAAATCCAAGTTCCAGGACTTCCAGCCAAGGGGATAACTTGGAAAGCAAAGCTTCCTAAAATAGCTTCAAGCCTACAGAATTAACTCCTGTCTGCACAAATCCAGTAGGAAAGACTAAAAATGTTAAGAGGGGATAAAAGTTGGAGCAAGGTACCTTAAGTGTGGGAGGAAACAGAATTCTAAGCATGAGGAAGGACTGGTCTTTAATAGGAGATTTAGGTATGGAGAATGGAGATGGCATCAATCTGATGGTAGGAAGCAGGGTATTGTTTTGTGGGAGAATCAAAGAGAGGACAAAATACTTGGTTTTGGAATCATGTAGAAATGATTTTTTTTTTGAGACAGTCTCACTCCGTGCCCTGGGTAGAGTGCGTGTTTCTGTAAGTTTCTGTAAGTCATAATCCTCCCTCCCTCCCTCTTTCTTTCTTTCTTTCTTTCTTTCTTTCTTTCTTTCTTTCTTTCTTTCTTTCTTTCTTTCTTTCTTTCTTTCTTTCTTTCACAGGGTCTCACTGTGTTGTCTAAGCTAGAGTTTAGGGGTGTCATCGCAGCTCATTGCAATCTGAAACTCCTGAGCTCAAATGATCCTTTTGTCTCAGCCTCCTGAATAGCTGGGATTGCAGGCAGGCATGATCATGCCCAGTTAATTTTTTTTTTTTTTTTTTGAGACAGAGCCTCAAGCTGTTGCCCTGGGTAGAGTGCTATGGAATCACAGCTCACAGCAACCTCAAACTCCTGGGCTCAAGCGATTCTCCTGCCTCCACCTCCCAAGTAGCTGGGACTACAGGCGCCCACC